GAGGCAGGAGACTCGCTTGAGCCCAGGAGTTGGAGGTTGCTGTGAGCTGTGATGCCACAGCACTCTACCCAGGGGGATAGCTTGAGACTCTGTCTCAAAAAAAAATAAAAACAAAAAACCAAAAAAACAAAACTTGGTTATAAAGGAACTAGTACCAAAACGACTCAATTGATCTAGTTATACCCTTTGCTAGAAAACAGCGCCACTTAAAAACACACCATTGCAGGGGCTAGGCATGGTGGCTCATGGCTATTAATTCCAGCACTTTAGGTGGCTGAGGCAGGAGTATCATAGCCCCCATCTCTACAAAAAAATTTTAAAATTAGCCAAGCATGACATCATGTGCCTATAGTCCTAGCTACTTAGGAGACAGAGGTGAGAGGATCGTTTGAGCCCAGGAACTCAATGCTGCAGTGAGCTGTGATCATAACACTGCACTCCAGCCTGTGCCACAGATACCCTATCATTGCAGAATTGCTCAAGAATAGCCTAATATTTTCAAAAAAAAAACAGCAGCTTTATGACTTGCAACCTCAAACTCCTGGGCTCAAGCGATTCTCTTGCTTTAGCCTCCCTTGTAGCTGGGACTATATGTGCCCCCCACACACACAACACCAGGCTATTTTTTATTAATGTAGTTGTCATTGTTTGGCAGTCTCAAGATGGCTTCGAACCTGCCAGCCCCCATATACATGGCTGGCTCCCTAGCCACTAAGCTACAGGCGCCGAGCCATGACTTTGTATCTTAATATAATGAGTTAACAAAGTAGTCACTGTTCAAGGTTTATTGGGTAGTTTAGTTGGTATGACATTTGGGTAGTTGGTTGCACTGTTTACATATAGATCTTTCTTTTTACATTATATGGCAATGTACACTACTGATAAATACAGTACACAAAATATCCTTTAGAACAGTTATGCACAGGACATGCAGTGTTGGATTTATACATTAGATCCCTGGATGTGACTGATTGGGAAAAGGCTGGACTAGGCATTGTTGGGTGAAGGAAGCAGAAGTCATATAACACCAGTAAACACACATCTGGTTCAAAGGGCAACGTGTGCCGCATTGGCAGTGGTGCCTCAGCAGTGGCGGAACTGTTTGTTTTACACTAATCCATTTAGGACTACACAGGGTAAGGTTCATCCAGTATCAGGATACAGCTGTAGGGTTTTACAAACCATTCTCATTTTTAACTTTAGGACAATGATGTTTTTCCTGGGCCATCTTAATATAACTGTTTTAATCACAGATCAGATAAAAAGGACAACATGCACAACCTCCAACTAAAATCCTGTTGTAGCCTAGACAGTGAAGTGCTATGACAGTAGCAGATTTTAAAATTGCAGCTCTTTTTGGATCCCCCAAAGTGTATCTGCACTCTTCTTCAAACGGGCCTCTTCCTCAGGAGTTAGAGTCACCTTCACAAGGTCTGAAATTCCATTCTGTCCCAGGATGCAAGGAACACTAAGGAAGACATCGTCTTTTATTCCATAGAGACCCTTGATCATGGTGGAAACTGGATGCACACGCCTGAGGTTCTTCATCATGCTTTCTGCCAAATCTGCCACAGAGAGTCCAATGGCCCAGGAGGTATAGCCTTTCAGTTTGATCACTTCATAAGCACTCTCAACCACCTGTTTGTGAACCTCTTTCCACTGCTCCTTGTCTGTATCAGTGCCTAAATCTGGGTGTAGATTCTTCAGGGAGACACCAGCGACATTCACTCCACTCCACACAGGCACACTAGAGTCTCCATGCTCCCCAAGGACCCATCCGTGACAGCTTAATGGGTGAACTCCCAGCCTCTCCCCCATCAGGTAACGGAAGCGGGCTGAATCTAGATTACAACCACTTCCAATGACACGGTTTTTGGGAAAGCCACTTATCTTCCAAGCCACATAGGTCAAGATATCCACTGGATTTGAGACAACAAGCAACTTGCAGTTTGGGCTGTATTTTACAACATTGGGAATGATGAACTTAAAGATGTTAACGTTTCGCTGGACCAAATTAAGACGGCTTTCTCCTTCCTGCTGGCGGGCCCCCGCTGTGATAATAACCAGCTTGGAGTTTGCAGTCACATTATAGTCTTTGCTAGAGACAATTTTTGGTGTTCTAAGGAAAAGGCTGCCATGTTGGAGATCCATCATCTCTCCCTTCAATTTGTCTTCAATGACATCAACAAGAGCAAGCTCATCTGCCAAGTCCTAAAAGACAAAAAAATCTTTAGTTCAATAGGAAATCTCATACTTGGAGATTTTTGGAATAAGCAAAATTTCTATATTTCTGGCATAGGAGAGTAGTGCTACCTTAGTAGTACAGTATCATGATATACTTCAAAGTAGAGGCAGGCCCAACTTAAACAGCTGACTTCACAGATGACCCCACACATAACACTGACCCTCTCTCATCAGCCCTGATGCCCCCCCTGGAGCAACCTCTACGGGAGTTCTACCAACACTGGTGTGAAGGGAGAACACTGGATTGGCAGTGGTTAGAATAACTTCCAATTATATAAAACGGCTCTGTTTACTCTCAAATTCAGTTTTATACACTGATTTTAAATAGGTGATACTGACCAGCATCTAGACTTGAAATTAAAAAGCAACATTTCAAACTATTCTCTGATTGTTTCCATATATGAACCAATACTATAAGTTTTGCATAAAGGTAGATTTGTGCATTGCATAATATTGGCAAAAAATATCCTTGTAGTTGAACCTATGAAAGTCTGTACATGCACCTCAGACTATGAGCCACCAAAAACAGCTTGAATACAAATGGGATGTGGTCTGTTGTTACCAAAAAGGTTATTCTAATCACAGATCTACCCTTAATCAACAATAATTCTAAGTGTTCTGACAGGTGTTCTTACCCACACGTGAGTCAGAGGCCACCACAGAAAGACCATAGGCATTCATTCACACGTGTAAGGGAAACAAATGGCATTAATTTCAGGTCTAGTAAGGAATAAAAGTTGGTGTATTATGTGGCCTCTCTGCAGAGGATATACAGAACCACCTATGTTGTTAAAAGATCTTTGCATAGCTCATTTTTACCTTTAGTTCCTTCTTACTTTCATTCATTTCTATCCAGAACCCAGAATTCATTATTTTGTTCTTATTAGGAATTCTAAATCTGAACTTAAAAGTATTTTAATATTATGGGCTACCTCAATTTCTTTTTTACTTAAATCAGGTTTGAATACTGTAACAAGAAGTTCTTTATTCCTAAGTTGTTTTTGTGTAATTGATAATTTTAGCTCCATAATTCAGGAAAAAAAATGCCATCCAAGGCAGGAGGGACAGTGGGGTTTGGGTGGGAGGACAACTTAAAGATTTCTCACATTTCAGTATGATTTTTACCATATGTGTGTGTCAATTAAAGTAATTCAAAAATTACTTTAAAAGAGTTTGGCTCATTTAAAGGCATGGGCCCTTCCTTTTTGTTGGTAGGCAATCCATGCATGCTAATATATAACAGTGAATTTTAGGAACTGGGTCTACAGTCCTGACATCCTTTGATACTTATCATTTCAGACATCCTTTTGGTATATGATTATGTTTCAAGTTTGTTTCACATAAAGTTCTTTTTTTTTCTTTCTTTTTTTGGCTAGGGCTCAGTTTGAACCCACCACCTCCAGTATATGGGGCCGGTGCCCTACTCCTTTGAGCCACAGGCGCAGCCCACACATAAAGTATAGTAATAACATAATTCTCGAGAAAGGAGTTGGGGGAGAGGTGGAGTCAAAGTTATGTGCTTCAAGAGTGGTATACTCTCACTTACCTTCATTAAGATACTGATGGCACAGGCCATGCCAACAGCACCAACCCCAACAACTGTAATCTTATTCTGGGGGGTCTGTTCTTCTTTTAGAACATTAAGAATCAGCTGATCCTTGACAGTTGCCATTTTGGACTTGGAACCCAAAGGGATC